ACTAAGAAGAAGAATAAGAAGAAGAAGAAGAAGAATATGACTAATAGGAATAGTACAAAGACTCATAACAAGACGCATAATACAATTATTCAGACAGAAGGGAGAATACTCATATTATGAGTGATACATCGAAACGTAAGAATGCTGACGACACGAATGATACGAAGTCGAATAACAATACTCGTACTGCCATATATACTACATATTAATAATAAGGATACTACTGCTACTGGGAGAATACGAATCATAACAACCACAATGTTACTAGTCTACTAAGTCGTTAGAGTATGAAGAATACGACTACACTATTAATGCTGCTAATTGTTCTAAGAGTTATCATTCGAAGAAGAAGAATAGAGTTTCGTCTCACAACTATTAGAGCAAGCATCTACGTAATCACATTAAGAGTAATACCAAACAACACGCAATAATAATTCACATGCGAAGAAGAACAATGACTAATGCTAAACATACTAAGAGTAGTACTATACATACTAAACGTAATAAGCATAACCAGTAATTATGATAATCATGCGAACCATGATTAGAAATTATGGATAATAGTGATGCTAATAAGGAGAAGAAGAGGCGCAGGAGGAGGAGCAGGAGCAGGAGCAGGAGCAGGAGCAGGAGCAGTCAGGGTATCGCGGGGCGCCATGCGCGAAGATCGGTGGTCTGGCTTGGGGCGGCCCCGGCGGGAGCCCCGCCGCCCGCCACCCGCCCCGCCAGCCTCCCGTCCGCCCCGGTGGGGCGCGTCGAGGGAGCCCCGGCGCCGAGTGGCGGACGCCCGCGCTCGACGCGGGCCGCGAGGGGCCATCCCGCGAGGGGGCGCCGCGAGGGTGGTCGGAGGGTCCCTCCCGACGACCAGCGGCGCCCTGGATGCGGGCGTAGCGTTCGGCTATACTGCGGCCCGCGGACCGCGCGGCCGGCACGAGCTGCTCGTTTTGTCGCGGGCTTTTCGTGCCCGCGTGACGCGTCGTCGATGCCATTTGTGCGGCGTCATTTTCCTTATACTAGTATTATTATCATCGCTATTGTTGTTGTTGTTATTATTATTATTGTTACTTTTGCTATGGGTAGTAGCATTATTATTATTTCTCTTCTTCTTCTTATCCTGATTATCTGTATCATTATCAGTATACATTTATATATATATATATTGCTTTTGTTGTGTGTGTGTCTGTATCCTTTGTTGTACATATGTACGCGTACATATGTATATATATATACATATACATACACACATACACATATATATATATATATATATATATATAGATATGTGCATGTATACATATATATATATGTATATATATATATAGATGTGTATATATATATATATATATACATACATATACACCATAAATGGGTAGGGGGTCCCGGGGCCCCGAAAGTGCACTGATTTGTCTTCCAGCCGTTTCGGGCCCGGCGGGGGGCGCCAAAAAACGTCAAAGGGGGTCGAGAGACGTCCAAGAGGGCTTCAAGTCGGCCAAGATGCCCTCAAAAGGACTCCCACGAGGCACTCAGGAGGCGAAACAAGTATGTGTTTTTTGATGTTCTTTGACGTTTTTTCGTGTTCTCGCTGTTGTTTCGTGCTTCCGACGGTCCAAGACAGCCCGTGAGGTCCAGAAATCAGCTCAAGACGACCCAAGAGGCACCTCAAGAGGGCGCCACGACGGCGCAAGAGAGTCCCAAGACTGCACAAGAGTTCACCAAGACGGCCTGAGAGGCGCCCAAGATCGCCCAAGAGGGGCCCAAGACGGCCCCAACAGGGGCCCAAGAGGGGGAACACGAACCGACAATTCGAGCCTTCCGCCCCGAGAGGCCTCCAGGAGGCCCCAAGAGGCCCCCAACAGAGCCCAAGAGGCCCCCAAGAGGCCCCCAACAGAGCCCAAGAGGCCCCCTAGAGGCCCCCCAGAGGCCCCACGAGGCCCCAAAGGGGCCCAAAAAGACGCCCCACGAGCACCAAACGGCACCCCAAACGGCACCCAAGAGGCCTCCAAAATTGCCTCCTTCAAGAGGCCCCCGGGAAGCCTCCCACGAATTCCAAATGAACTTCCAAGAGGCTTCTGATCCACAACCCAGGCACGGCGGCGGGATGGGCCGAAGGCCACTATCGGGAACGTGAACCGAGAATCCGACATCTTCGCCCCAGGAGGCCCTCAGGAGGGGTCAAGAGGTCCCCAAGAAGCTTGGCGACAGATCACTGGTCGACCGGTCGATGAGAGCGGAGAAGGAGGAATGATGCAGAGGCAGGAGGAAACAGAGAATGTTGACCTCATTATTCATGACCGCCTTGTTGTCTCAATGCGGTCAGCACTCAACCAGCTAGAACCTAAGCGCGCCCGAAGCGCGCGCGATGGTTCTAGTATGCCAATAAATACATGCATGCATGTAGGTATATGTATGTGAATTCATATGTAGTGTTCCCAACCGTTCAGTGGTGTTGCGCCCTCGCTTTGAAAAGAGCGCCCCGCGTCCCTCCTTCTCCTCCTGTTCCTTCCTCCTTCTTCCCATCATCCTCACCATTATCACCACCATCATCATCTTCATCATCATCAGCAGCATCATCAGCAGCATCATCAGCATTATCATCATAAGCATCATCATCATCACCATCATCACCATCATCATCATCATCATCATCATCATCATCATCATCATCATCATCATCATCATCATCATCATCATCATCATCATCATCATCATCATCATCATTCTCATCATCATCATCAGCATCATCATAATCATCATCACCAGCATCATCATCATCATCAGCATCATCATCGTCATCATCGCCATTGGCTTCGGTACACCTCTCACACGTTTCGTGACCCCGTAGGGAGCTCCACCTAAGGCCCCATGGGGTGTGGCCACATGCGGCCGCCCCTCGCATTTGGGCACACCCGTCACAAGTTTCGTGGCCCTTTATGGAGGTCCACCTACGGCCCCATGGGGTGTGACCACATGCGGCTGCCACGTTCAATGCGGCACACCCCTCACGCGTTACGCGGCTCCATAGGGAGCTCCACCCAAGGCCCCAGCGGGCGTAACCACATGCGGCCGCCACATTCAATGCGGCACACTCCTCACGCGTTACGCGGCCCCATAGGGAGCTCCACCCAAGGCCCCAGTGGGTGTGGCCACTTGCGTCCGCCACGCTCATGTCGGCACACCCCTCACGCGCTTCCTGGCCCCTATGGGGCGTTCCACCTAAGGCCCCAGTGGGCGTGGCCACTTGCGTCCGCCACACTATTTTCAGCACACCCCTCGCACGTTTCGTGGCCCCATATGGAGTTGCACACCTCTCGCACGTTTCATGGCCCCATAGGGAGTTCCACTGGAGGCCCCAGTGGATGTGGCCACATGCGCCCGCCACACTCATTTCGCCGCACCCCTCACGCGCTTCGTGGCCCCTTATGGGGAGCTCCATCGAACCCCCCAGCGGCCATGTTCTCATGCGACCGCCACTCACGTTTTGGCACACCCCTCACGCGCTTCGTGGCCCCATAGGGAGCTCTGCCAAAGGCCCCAGTGGCCACGGTCGCAGGCGGCAGCCCTACCCATTTCGGCACACCGCTCACGCGTAGTCGGAGCTTCGATATAACTAGTATCTCGGAAGCCTCATGGGCCATCTTGTGCGGTCGGGTACCCACGCATGCGAGAACCTCAAACCTCTCAAAAACAATAGGGAAGTCATCGGGATATTCAGATCTCTCTGAACGTTATTGCCGTCACCTTTCAGTGACGGCTGGTACGCGCGTGTGGGCATTGCTTCTGCGTGAATCGGCTGAAGGGAAGTCAACTCATTCGCCTCCTCGGAGGCCTCTTGGGGCTTCTTGGGGGTCTCTTGGGGCCCCTTGTCGCCTCCGGGAGAGTCATGAGGCCTCATAGGCATCTCCCAACACTGGCTTAACTATACACCCTCGCGTCCTGCGGGCGGCAGCCCCTGAAACAGGCCGAAGGGATCGCGCAAGGCCGCGACGGCGCGGAGGGAGGGAGGGAGGGAGGGAGGGAGGGAGGAGGAGCAGGAGGAGGAGGAGGAGGAGGAGGAGGAGGAGGAGGAGGAGGAGCTGGCCTCGCTCGGGCAACCTCCCCTCCTCACCTGCTCCTTTTACTCCCGCCTCTCGCGCTAACCCTCACTCCACCGCACCACCCTCACAGCCTCCCCTTCCCTTCCCCCCCTTCATGTGCCTTGTCATCATCATCATCATCATCATCATCATCATCATCATCATCATCATCATCATCATCATCATCATCATCATCATCATCATCATCATCATCATCATCATCATCATCATCATCATCATCATCATCATCATCATCATCATCATCATCATCATCATCATCATCATCATCATCATCATCATCATCATCATCATCATCATCATCATCATCATCATCATCATCATCATCATCATTCATCATCATCATCATCATCATCATCATCATCATCATCATCATCATCATCATCATCATCATCATCATCATCATCATCATCATCATCATCATCATCATCATCATCATCATCATCATCATCATCATCATCATCATCATCATCATCATCATCATCATCATCATCATCATCATCATCATCATCCGTGTTACCTTCTCCTCTCTCTCCACCTCTTGGCTTTTGGTTTGCCACTCCCCCCAGCGCTGCTGGGCGCGAGGGGATTCGAGGGCTTCAACCGTTTCGGGGACGCAGCCCGCAGTCCTGAATCCCGAGGGGGACAGGGAGCAGGAGGAGGATTCCCCACGGCGACGTCGCCGATGCTTCGCCGACGTCGCCGATGCATCGCGCGAGGCCGCGACGGCGCGGAGGGAGGGAGGGAGGGTGGGAGGAGGGAGGGAGGGAGGGAGGGAGGGTGGGAGGGAGGGGGAGGGGAGGGAGGAGGGAGGGAGGGAGGGATGAGGATGACGTCGCCGGCCTCCCGCCCGACCGGCGTGGCCGCGGGGGGCCCCGCCGCCGCGGGCGCGCGGGCGCCCGGCCTCAGGCCGCCTGCAGGGCCAGCGCCTACCTCCTTGCGGACAGGGGCACGCTCGTGAAGGAGGTGTCGGGGACAATGACAGGGGGGATCAGGGGTACGTTCTGGACGCCCGAAATGGGTACTGAAAGAATGGGTTCTATGCCCAACAACAATTCCTGTTCATTCTGAACAGGACTCGCTGTCCGCGCCGCCGCGGCCTGTGTCCATTCGAGACAGGAGGCCGCCCGCCCAACAGCGACCGCTGTCGGTTCGGGACAACATTTGCTGTTGGGCATTGTACCCATTCTTTCGGTACCCATTTCGGGTGTCCAAATACGTCAGAAGCCGGGTGACGGCTGGCAAATTCGCGGCTGCTAAAACTGAGCTCCAGGAACGTGTTTTTATTTCTTCCTGGAAGCAGCCCGTTCATTAGTTAGTGCGCTGAGTTTGATTCCAGGAATTTGTTTTTTCCTTCCGGGAAGACCGTTTTAGCAGCCACGGATTTGACAGTCTTCGCCCAGCTTCCAAGTTCGGTAGGTTCATGCCGCGAGGGCGCGCCGGAGACGCCGGCGAAGACAAGCAAGGTTGAGCTCCGCACGGTCGGACGACGTGGGAGCACCGAGGGATATGGTACAACGCCACAGGACCCGACGAGATTCAACCTGGAACGATCGGGGCCGCGATCGGTGCAAGGTCGAACGATCGGCGCGGTGTCAGAAGCCTTTGCGCGCGCCGACGCCGCGCGAACTCCCCGTAGTCGGGCGCGGCAAAGATGGGGGTGAAGACTAGGGGGAGGGTGGATATCATGGCAGGGGCCATGATATTCCCCTAGATTTCATGGCGCCTCTTATTTCATTGCGCCCTCTTGTTATTATGATTCGCGCCCCCCTCTTGGACGCCCCCCTCTTGGCCGACCCCGACGTATGGGGGAGTCATCGACCCCACTCGCCCATGGATCGCTCGATCCAGGATCGCCGATGAGGATCGGATGGTCCCAGCCCGCCCAGGGAGGTGCAATTTCGCAGTCGGGACCCTGTCGCCGATCTATCGGCGATGTATCGCGGACTCCAGGTTCGGGGAAACGTAAGACTTCGAGTAAGCGGGAACTCGGACTTGCCGACGTTTTTGACGAACGCGTCCTGGATTTCGACGGTCCAGTTTTTGTGGGATGTCTGCAGCGGGAGCTCGCGTGAAATTTCATATTGGGCCTCGTCATTTTTATGATGGCCCCGTCGGGCCAGCCCGAGTCCCCCGTACCCGAGTCTTACGCCTCCCCGACAAGTCGATGTTCCCCGTCTTCTGCCAGTCCCCCTTCTTGTTGCCCCTCAGGTGAAAGACCACGTGCCCTCTGCGAAGGAGGAGCCCGCAAGCGGGGGCGTCCCCCTCCCGAGATCCTGGCGTCTTGATTTTTTGTCCGAGCTGGGCGTCTGCGCGCTGTTTCGGGCCCCGAGAACTTCGCAGATAGGTCAAGTCGGGCATGTCCGTCTACAGAAAGAATTTTCAATATTAGTTGAAACGTAGTCTGGGGACGTTTTTCATACTATTTTTGACGATATGTGCATTTTTGGGGGCTATCTTTCATTTTTCCTCAGAGTCTGACTGTTGGATGACATGCCCGACCTAAAGATAGGTGGGTCGGCTCGAAGCATGGCGCAGAAAAGGTGGGGTCCGGGGTTCAGGTCGTGATGTTCTAGGCCTCCCAGATGGGGTCGGAGTAGATGGGGAGGGGGGATCGCGCCGCATCGGCGATGCGGCTCGATGCGGAGCCTGATTTTCTCCACGCCGACGTCGCCGATGCGTCGCCGACATCGGCGGTGCATCGACGATGCATCGCCGATGCACTGGCGACGCGGCGCGGTTTTCCGACCACATCAGCTCGGACCCCGTCTGTGAGGCCACGAGATGCTGCGCGACGACTGCACAGTGCTGCGAGAGCAAGGTGCCCGCAGGCGAGGCCTGAGGCTCCAGGCTTGCACGGGCGTGCTCGTCGGACCTCGGCGGTGTGCCAGCCTCGGGATGGTGATCGTTTTCCGCTCCTCCACACGAGCGGGGGCGGGCGGTGCTAGAAGTGGTCTTGGCCCATGGTGTCCCCAGCTTTGCGCTCCATTTCCGTAGCCCCGAGGGCTCTCCGTGCCTCGTGGGGGGGTGTTCTGGAGGGTCCAGAGCCGGTGGGCGGCGAGCACCCGCATCTGCGGCCTCGCGGGCTGGGCCCCCGGGCCGCGGCCCCTACGGAAACGCGGTGTTTTTTGTGATCGTTTGTTACCTAACAGCGAAGACTGATAGGTTTCTAGTAGGGTCAAAAGAGAGCATCATGACGCCGCATGACGCCCCAGGGGGCTCTGGGCGCGATCCGGGGGAGGATGCCGGGGGGATGCCGGGGAACTCGTTTTCAGCAAACAGTGACGCACTTCGTCGTCTTCGAGTTCCCAGAACTTCATTCCTGGGCATGATTTTGAATGCCCGGAGCCAACTGTAGGCCACTTCGTGGTCTTCGAGTTCCCAGAACTCCAATCCTGGGCATGATTTTGAATGCTGAGGCAGGCTGATGCTGAGGCTGAGGCAGGCTGAGGCTGAGGCAGGCTGAGGCTGAGGCCGAGGCTGAAGGCAGACTGAGGCTGAGGCTGAAGCAGGCTGAGGCTGAGGCTGAGGCTGAGGCTGAGGCTGAGGCTGAGGCTGAGGCTGAGGCTGAGGCTGAGGAGGCAGGCTGAGGCTGAGGCTGAGGCTGATGCAGGCTGAGGCTGAGGCAGGCTGAGGCTGAGGCCGGGGCTGAAGGCAGATTGAGGCTGAGGCTGAAGCAGGCTGAGGCTGAGGCAGAGGCAGGCTGGCTGAGGCTGAGGCTGAGGCAGCCTGATGCTGAGGCAGGCTGAGGCTGAGGCTGAGCCTGATGCAGGCTGAGGCTGAGGCAGCCTGAGGCTAAGGCCGAGGCTGAGGCAGACTGAGGCTGAGGCTGAAGCAGGCTGAGGCTGAGGCTGAGGCAGGCTGAGGCTGAGGCTGAGGCTGAGGCAGGCTGAGGCTGAGGCAGGCTGAGGCTGAGGCTGAGGCTGATGCAGGCTGATGCTGAGGCAGGCTGAGGCTGAGGCTGAGGCTGAAGGCAGACTGAGCTGCGGCTGAAGCAGGTTGAGGCTGAGGCTGAGGCAGGCTGAGGCTGAGGCTGAGGCAGGCTGATGCTGAGGCAGGCTGAGGCTGAGGCTGAGGCTGATGCAGGCTGAGGCTGAGGCAGGCTGAGGCTGAGGCCGAGGCTGAAGGCAGACTGAGGCTGAGGCTGAAGCAGGCTGAGGCTGAGGCTGAGGCAGGCTGAGGCTGAGGCTGAGGCTGAGGCTGAGGCTGAGGCTGAGGCTGAGGCTGAGGCAGGCTGAGGCAGGCTGAGGCTGAGGCCGAGGCTGAAGGCCGAGGCTGAGGCTGAGGCTGAAGCAGGCTGAGGCTGAGGCTGAGGCGGCAGGCTGAGGCTGAGGCTGAGGCTGAGGCAGGCTGGTGCTGAGGCAGGCTGAGGCTGAGGCTGAGGCTGGCTGAGGCTGAGGCTGAGGCAGGCTGAGGCTGAGGCCGAGGCCGACGGCAGACTGAGGCTGAGGCTGAAGCAGGCTGAGGCTGAGCCTGATGCAGGCTGAGGCTGAGGCTGAGGCAGGCTGATGCTGAGGCAGGCTGAGGCTGAGGCTGAGACTGAGGCTGATGCAGGGTGAGGCTGAGGCTGAGGCTGAGGCCGAGGCTGAGGCTGAAGGCAGACTGATGCTGAGGCTGAAGCAGGCTGAGGCTGAAGCAGGCTGGGGCTGAGGCTGAGGCAGGCTGAGGCTGAGGCAGGCTGAGGCTGAGGCTGAGGCAGGCTGAGGCTGAGGCGGTGACTGCGACTGCCGTCGCCACTGCGACTGTCATCGCGAATGCGACTACGACTGCGAGAACAGCAGAATTCTACAATTGGATTCTCGTCTGAATCTTAAGGGGAATGCTCCCAGATATGCTCCTACACATCGCTGTTAGGTTGCTTTGCCGGGATAACTTCATTCATTGTTTTGCCGATTGGCGGGGGCCCCCAAACACCCCCCCCTCCCCCCCCTCCACTAATTATGGAGTAGCTCTTGGCTGTTTTTGGCCCCTGCTTCGAGCGGGTGGAGTCTCCCCCAGAGGCCGCACTCTTTCAAACAGGTGCACTAAGCAGAGGTCTGGAGCCAGGCCCCCCCCTCCCCCCCCTGCCGCCCAATGTCGAAACGCCGGATTAAAAAACGCTCACCTTCGCGGATGTCCCGCGCGGAGCCTATCCGTGCGACCCCGTGTCCGCGGGATCGCGCCTCGGCATCCAGGCCGAGAGGGCGTGGATATGTATACGTTCGTCGCTCGTGGCAGAGGGTCACCAGCAGTGTGTGCATAGCATGGCTCAGGCCATGAGATCTCCCAGGTTCCATGGCCCCCCGTTCTTCTCTTAGTTGCATCCCCTGGCCCCCCACTCTCCCGCGCACGCGCCGCGGGCCGTGATGCGCGCACCCCGCCTCTTCCAGGCACCCCTCTTCGGCGCACCCGGCACAAGGGGGCGATGATGATGATGATGAGGAGGAGGAGGAGGAGGAGGAGGAGGAGGAGGAGTAGGAGGAGGAGTAGGAGGAGGAGGAGGAGGAGGAGGAGGAGGAGGAGGAGTAGGAGGAGGAGGAGGAGGAGGAGGAGGAGGAGGACCAGGAGGGAGGACGAGGAAGCGAGAGGAAGGGATGACGGCGGTGGAGGGCTGCTGTAGGGGGCCTTCAACGTTCAATGGGGCCCTTCAAGGTCTCACTGCTGCCCAGAGGGGGAGCGACGAAACCCTCTGGCGTTGTCGGAGGCGCGGAGAGGCGGCCTGGCCCCTTCTGGCCTGCTGGAGGGCCTCTTGGAACCCGCTTGGGGTGTACCGGTGGCCTCTTGGGCCATCTCGGGGCTGCTCAGGCCTGCCCGACGCCTTCGGGAGCCGCCCTCGGGTCTGCCGAAGCGGCCCGCCCGCTCGCCCTTTCCCTCCCCCCTGTCTGGCGCGCCGCCGAGCAGCTCGCGGGAGAGGCGCGAGGGCCGCGATGTGTCCGAGCCCGTGCCGTGTCGAGCGGCGAGGTGTTCCCTCGGGACGAGCGGCGCGG